TAGAACAAGGGGATTGCAGGAAATCAGATGTGACGGAATCACTTAAAGAGTTTCTAATAACCGTAGTCATTAGTCCCCACTGCTTGTGGTTCCGATGGCAAATATGGCACCCTGTATATCATTTCAGGTCTCTTTTGTTGTGTCCCTGTGGCATAAAACAGTAAAGAACCCTGCTGCTCTGCCATATGGATCAGATTCCATGGATCCAGAGGGTAGGGGTTCAAACCCCACTCAGCACAGTTGAAAGTTTTGTTTTGTGTGGCTGAGCTGTGGGTTTGTGTCTCTGTCCTGATAGCCTTGGTAGCATGGTGGGTGGGAGGTGATTTTGACAGATGATTGATAGGGTGGTCTTGCTTGAAGGTGACACAGCAGCTGCCAGGTGGGAGTAAGTGGGCGATATGAGGAGGAATTTAATAAGTAGTGGTGTAATACCTGGAGAAATCATCATACAATCCTCTCCACGGTTCCAATACATACACGAAAACACTTCCCGGAGGTCTGTGAACTGGAAGGTCACGAAAATCCAAAATACTCCCCTGAAGTTTGAAGTCTCTGATTCCTTTTCGGGGTTTCATTCAGCCTGGAGCGTATCAAACACATAACAATCTACCATTTCCCCCCCCAGTGTGTTTGGCTGCAAATATAAGGCATATCAAAGCCAATGTGCACTATTTCTAGCTGCTTGAAAAATCATCATGCTTCAACCCAGCTAAGGATGACTGCTTTACCTACCTTACCCTATTGGAGAAAGTATGTATAGGAAGTATAATGCCTGACGTCGTCGGCAGTATTCCTTTGTGGAAGGAAGTTCTAAGGGAAGCCCAGATGTAATTTGGATGGTTGTGTACCCAGCCATACATGAAACATTGTGATGGGCTTCTCCACGTCGGCAGTTATGGGAATTAGACGCGATGTACAGAAGATTAATGTTGGGATCCATATTGAATCCCAGGTCCATTCAACGTTCCATCTGCGTTCAAGGCAAACGTAATTTCCCTTTCCCTACTTTTCACAGGAGAATCACTCCCAGTGCTGGCTTTAACTCCACGTTTTATGTATTAGATATCTTTAGACTGGTTTTATGGCAAGCCTTTTCAATGCTGGTGCTGGTTTAAGACTGTTATAAAATAAAACCACTCTATTAACACTTTGACTTGTAACAATACCCAAGATACGGTACATATACAGCCCACATGCAAATTACAATTATCATTGATCCCTCAAGATTTTTAAAAATGTGAAACATACTTTTAGTCCCATTCCAGCCTTTAAAACTGACCTAAGATGAATTGCATAATTACCTGTGGTATGAAAGTATTGTTTTGGTTGGCCGAGTTGCAGGCTTGAGCATCAGTCTGAGTGGAGTACTTTGGCAGCCCATTGGTGGGGGCCCGCATGACCTTTTCCGTAGAGCGTAATCGGTCATTTTAATTCTACGTAGAGCGTAGACAGACCACTCCAAAATTATGCGGAGAGCGTATTCGCCGTTTTAATTCTACGTAATGCGTTGTAGCCACTTGGAATTTATCGTAAAGCGTAATTGAGAGGTTTCCGAATTCAGCGTAGAGCATTGTCGGGACCCCCCTTGCAGGCCCTCATTGGTGGGGGAAGATTGACAGACAAGATTACAGGTCAAAAGGTCAGACACAGGAAATGGGGTGAACTTGAAGATCACGAAAACTCAAAATACGTACTGGAAATATAAAAACTCTGATTTCTTGTTTGTATCAAGTATGACATTTATAAGATATTGGTAGTCAGAGATTATACAACATACATTTGAGCTAATTGCAAATTTTTTTTTTTCTTTCTTTCTTTTGTTTGTTTGACTCTAAATCATTTGTTTGACTCTAAATCATTCTTCCCTAAAGCTGCTTCTTTTCAAGCAGCACAGTGAAAGATTGGCTGTGACGGATGGCTTTGGGAGTGCTTGTCGTGTTCTTAATATTCCAGTGCCCCTGGGCAACTGAGTTGCTGCTCCTCCCAGAGCACATCTGTGCTGTCCTTAAGAAGGTTATATGAAGGGAAGACATCTTTCCAACATTCTGTATCAGAAAGATTTAATTTATAAGAAAAGTCACTCACAAGCAAGTGAACAGTAAAATTTAAATGACTGCCATTCCAGATTCAAGAAGTATTTAAAATTTTGCAGTGTCAAGTACATTCTACACGTATTTTGCTAACCTTGGGCATTATACAGTATAGTTAAGTAAGGCTGCCAATATGCGAAAGCTTAACCATTGATTTGAAGCCTTATCATATGTATATGGCCTGCTGTGATCCATGTATATGGCAATCTTAATAGGTGAAGTGTTCAAAATTTTACTTTTGCCATCAAGTACCCAGCATGGGGGGGATAATACTACCACATATAACAGCCCACATTATCCCAAACTACTTCCCATTACTCTGCAACTTTGTGATGTATGGCGTTTCCGCAAGTCCCTCCATTATTACCAGATTTCCACGGTTCTGGCCCATTTGTCCTGTCAGTCACCGCGGAGGGGAAGGGAGCTCACGACTCGTCTCCCCCGACTCCTCTCGGCGCCGTTTGTCACCTGTGGCGTGGAAACCCGCCGGCTGTGCCGATGGGGAGATTTTCCCCGCAGCTAGGGGGATAATACCTGCCTTTCAACGGTAGCAGGACAGTGACTTGCATACAGAGAGCCCTGGAGAGATGCACTGTTTCAATGATCATGTATACCAGTATGATAGATTTTCTGGTCACCACCACTATTCTAGCCTGAAATATTTTTCCTTCTTTTCTGTTTCAATGATCATGTATACCAGTATGATAAATTATGTGGTCACCACCAGTATTCTAGCCTGAAATGTTTGTCCGTCATCTCAATTTTATAACATCATCCTATGGGTGTTCGGTAACATGGAAAGTTTTGAAATCATGAACCTCTCAAATGCTATTTCCTACAGTTTTAGGAGCAAATTTTGCTGGTAGACTAAGCTTAGTTTATGACATCTTTTCCCATATCTTTACACACTGATTTTCGTCCGTCAAAGATGACGGATTGGGCAAAATTTTTGTCTGTCATGGGCAGCAAAAGACTGAAAGATGGACACTGGCCAGAACAAGTTGGTCACCACAGAAAGTATCCGGTATTATCACCAAGACCAGTAAAAATCTATATTATGGTATTGTAAAGTTCCTCAAAAGACATCTTTATTTTGTGTTTTCCACGCATTGTGAAAATATGCACTAGGCATTTTTCTAAATACTCAATGTATGTATTGAAACATCACCAAATGTTGATCCTTGATGTTAAGACTCTAGATTCTATATAAGTACATGGCAGATATACATTGCCATTGAAGTGTGATTTATACATACACATGTGAAGCCTTCATTTGTACAACACAAGAAGCATAGACAAATAGCTCTGGCTCAAAAGAATTTTAACGCAATCAATCATGGGCTTCCATCACTAGAAATTACTTCAGCTCGGAGCTATGTGTATGGCACTGGGATGGTATTCGGATGTGTCAAATGGCACAAAGTTCTTCTTTTGCCTTGAAAAGAATTGTAAAATTGTGATACGACGATGTGGCAAATTCAGATTCCCCCTCTAGGAACCATACCAGAGCCCATTGTAACGCAAGAAACCATAACAGAACACACATTGTAACAGTAGCGACCATATCAGGTCATATAGTCACATGTAATGTCAGATCCTGAGCTGTGACATGGTAATTCACACCTTGATGGCCCATAGATAACTCTCATAGCCAGCCCATTGTTATCTGGTCTGCGTTGACGACCTTGGACTAATATTAATTTCTTATCATCATTATTATCATAAACCCCGACCGGGTCATACCGAAGACTTTAAAAATGGTACACACTTCTTCCTCTGCTTAGCACTCAGCACATATGAGAAAGAGTGACTGGGAAGGTCAAACACACAGTACTACCACTGCATTGCACAATTGTGTGTCGCCCAAGGGCTACGAAATTTAGATGGGCACCACCCTACACTCGGGCAAGAGCACGGGAGACCTTCTTCTTCTTCTTCCTGGTAAAACTGTGGCATCGCCAACAGAGCTTAGGGTCGGGTATCAGGATTGGCAGCACGTCGGCAGAACATACTGCGCCTGCGCAGAACCCTGGATTTTTGCGTTTTTCGTTGTTTTTTTGGTTCACGTTGCATCAGAATTTTCACTGTTGCAGAGGATATCTTTTCTGACACAACATAATGCTAACCTTATATGAGAGAATACGACCTTATATGAGACATTCTGCCGAAGTGCTATGTACAATACATTACGGGTTTCGCGCAGGTGTAGTACGTTCTGCTGACATGCTGCTTAGGGTCGGGTATCAGGATTGGCAGCCATGAGATTGATCTCATGACAAACATGTGTTACCTCATTAGCACCATGTTTCCAAGAAGCCTGGGTTAGAGGTCACATTGCACCCAGCGGACGGCTGGCAAACAAACCTGATTCAGAGGCCCTGCATGGGGTTTACATCAACAGGTCGATCGGTGTAATATAGCCAGCTGCCACTGCGCCGCGTGCCTGAGAAGCTGGTGTGTTACGCCGAAAGGCAGTTATACCGGCTATACAGATACAGAAGCTGGTGTGTTACGCCGAAAGGCGGTTATACTGGCTATACAGATACAAATACAGATACATCTGGGTATGGAAGTGTATTTCTACATGTATGACTGGCTGATCTCTGAATGTTTGCATCTGTTTGTCTTGAGGTTGATAGCACATGGGTGGGGATGATTGACAGGAATTCAAAAGGTCAGATACAGGAAATGGGGTGAACTTAAAGTTTCCAGAATCTGGTCCAAAACCAGCAAGAATTAATGGTAGTTGCGGAGGAATTCATGAAGTCAATTAAAATGCATTTATTTATTAATTATGAAAATTTATTGAATGCTACATGTTATACAGTGTTTGATAGATTAACAGAACATTGAATAATTTTCATCCTTTGTGCACCTGTAACTTAAGTAATGTTTATTGCTTTCTTGAAGGGTCTGTTGGAAGTGTTGACCCCGCCGACCTGGAGATCGACCTGATGAAGGGAGCACAGCTGCAGCAGCAGGCATTGCAGAAGGGGTCGGGGGTCAAGCAAATGCTGGGGCAGCACAGCCAATCAGATGCCTTCCTCCTGATAGGTAGGTGAAATGACAGCCAATCAGATGTGTTCCTTCCGATAAGTAGGTGAAATGACAGCCAATCAGATGTCTTTCTTCCAATAGGTAGGTGAAATGACAACCCATAAGAAGCCTTCCTTCTGATTGGTACATTAAAATTTAAATAACAGCCAATCAGATGCCGTCCATCTGACTGGTACAGCCAATCAGATGCCGTCCATCTGACTGGTACAGCCAATCAGATGCCGTCCATCTGACTGGTACAGCCAATCAGATGGCTTATGCGTTGATACATTAAAATGTATATGATGAAAAAGATATTTTGAGTTTCTTTTCTTTTTCTCAGAGCTTCGTCAAAACCAGAACAGCAAATCAACCATAAAATAACAACCAGTGAGGGTCCCCTATTCGGTGATGCATACTAACTCTCAAATTACTTTCATCACATAGCAGCTTTGAAATTATGGATTCTTCATGAGTCGAAGCCTAATTGCAATTCTGACATATTAGTATAATGTCAGATGATTAGAATAAGCAAATGGAATGCTTTTGTCTGTTTTTGCCGAGGCATGATTGTGTAACGATTTACGACAATTAAGCATCATGTGAATCCTGTATCGTCTTGACGCAAAGAAACTTTTTAACCTTCTCCCTGCTGTCTAAAACTGTGATGGTTGAAATTTAGGTTCAAAAAGATATCTTTAGGCAGGGATAGGATTAATTGATACTGACTTCAGCCTATACAATATGTATTCACGTAAATAATTTCATCAGGTTGGAAGATACTTAGGGTATAGAATTTTCTTCTTACACAACCATAGGGTTTCTCACCTGCCCCAGATGTATTGTGCAAGCACGTCTAACCCTTGCAAGACGGGGAACAACAGACGATAAACCGGACAGTAGTAGTAGTAGTAGTAGTTTCGTTTCGATGTCTATCAGACACCTTCCTCAGAGCTTCTGACTGGAGTTCTGCAACTCGCCGCTATTTAACGCCAGTGATGAACCGGGACGAGGGGGGATACAAGCTCAGCCACGTTTGGGATTGCATTCTCGCCGCAAAAGCGCCACCTACATTGGCGTTAAATAGCGGCGAGTTGCAGAACTCCAGTCAGAAGCTCTGAGGAAGGTGTCTGATAGACATCGAAATGTAAGCAGGTGATAAACCCTATGGTTGTGTAAGAAGAAAATTCTATACCCTAAATATGTATTCAATGACGCCATTGGTCCACACCCATGTACATGTAGGTTAGGCCGGCACTATGCTTTGTTGCATGTCATAAGCGATATTATACGAGTTTAAAATTTTTAACCTGCTGTCTACACTATAGTTGATATCTGGTTTCAAAGCTACCTTAGCGAGGACAAGGTTAAATAATACTGACTACATCCTATACATTATGTATTCAGCGATGGAAGCCAATGCCATTGGTTCATACCCCTTTAGGTAAAAGCCATCGTTACGCTTTGCTGCATGTCACAAAAGCCATAGCGGAAGTACAGGCGGTGGGTACGAGGGTGCTTCAGGCTAAACGTGTTCACTACATGCAAAACAAAGTTAGAGACACCGACTGTGAGGCATGTCGGGGGGAAATCCAATATGCCTCACCACTCACACCTGCCAGATAAACTACAGACTAAAGGTTATAAAATATTCAGGACGCGCTGTCAGTGTTAGATGAAGCAAGTTGTGGGATTAAGAAACAAATGAGCTGATTAGGAACTGCTGGGAGGATAATCATGTGGGCTAATTCCTCCTACCTAGTCTCCAGTGATTAATCCATCTTCAAAAATAATCTGTAAAAACAATAATTAATACTGTCATTAAGAAGTAAACATTCTGCTTTAAAAAGCACAACATTTCTGAAGGTTTACAATGAGTGTACGAAGATAAACAGTTTCTACTTATTTCACTGATGAAAGACTCAGAATGGTGTCTGAAATGTCTGAATTTAAAAAATATATCCAAAATGTTTAAACTTAATTAAAACATTAATATATTTCCTGGATGTACATTGTATAACCTTCACAAATGTATATTATTAACGAAGTTTTCTTTGGGGAAGGAATCGCTGATGGCATGGGATGTATCTCGTTTACAGCTAATTAAAAGAGCCACAGACACAAAGGGCATCAATCGCGATGTTCTTATCGATTTGCGCCCTCCCGTAGGTTACTTCTTTGAACGTCATTAGTGAGAGCTAGGGCAGTGCTGACAGGTAACGCTAAGGGAACGTGACAGGTAGGATTGAATGTGCTGCTAGTTTTACTCCCACCTTCTGCCCAGGTGGTACACAACGACTTTCCGATGATCGATTATTTTAATAGATTTTACTGACGGTTGGGGGCACCTGATTTGTGGACTTTTCAACGTTTTCTGTATTGCTCTTATCAGCAATGTTAAATATTCTTTCAGATAAATGCAAGGATGACAGGGTACTAATAGATCGATAACTCCCAGATTAGCTGAAGTTACCGCTTTTGATTTGAATGAATGATAAAATGACTTGTACTTGCTTACTTTATTATATGATGGAACACTTCAATCTTTAATTTATGTCCCAAGTCTATTGCAAAACACACGAAGAAATTCAGCTTGTTTCGTGATGATTTCATAATCATAACTCTTTACAACATACCCATCTTTGACACTTTAGGTCACAGCAAGTAATTTTTATGGATGACATCAGGGCGCGCATTAATTTTCGCCTGATTTTGAAAAAAAAACAACAAGAAATTTTGTTGCCTTCTGACAGTGGTCAACAAGATGCCATGCCGGAAGGTGGATGGCAGATAAATATGAAGAGAGGAGACAAGAAAAGGCTCTGTTTTGTTTCTTACTTTGATGCTGTGATATGTGATGCTGGCGGTGTAAATGTGATGTTCCTACTGAATCAAAACCATTTGTACAATGCTTGAGTAAAAATATTAAATTGTAGGAACCTTGTTTTTTTCGGCCCGCCTTGTTTTTTTTTCGCCCGCTCGCATTAGATTTGGAATCTGCGGAGGATGTCATCCATAAAATTTACTTGCTGTGGCCTTACTAGCACTTAAGAAATATTTTCCATTTCCAAAAATGTATCTATTATGCAACCATTACGACATTGTATTCCCAGTTAGACTGTTAAAAGCTTTCAACCTCCTACTGGGGCTACAAGTCACGTAATGATTCCGGTACACAACGTACAAAGTTCTCACTAGGGGTTTCAGGAAGATTGGCGCTGGCTTTATGTGTGAAACATCAGTTTTCGTATGAAAGAACAGGCTAAGCTTAGTATGACAGAATTCATTTGCCTGGTTATAGTCAAGGCAAAACCATTACAGCAACATAGCATACATGTATGAGTCAACCGAACAAATTTTATTCAAAAAGATCGGCAACTCTGTTAAACTTTAGATCAGTTGCTGTGAGACTTGGTGAAATGGTTTTGAATTGGCTTCATTTATTGTTCAATATTTGCAACTTAGATTTGCTGAAAGGTGGAAAGCAAGAGTTTGAAGAACAATTTATGCAGATACATTGTATGTTCTGACTAACATTCCATTTTTCTCAGGCCATGAATGTAAAGTAAATTACAGTAACAAGTTTGAATTAAATTTGAAGAAATTTAGTACTATATTATTCATTCTATAATTCCTTGTTATCAACTCTAAACCCTCAGAATATTGTATGCAAACAATACTCACATTGTAACATACAACTCCAATATTATCCATAAATTTAACATGCTCCCCTCCCCCTGCCCTGCAGAATTTCTGTGCTGCATTGAACATTGATCAAACTTTGCTGATTTCACCAGATTCTATCAAGTAATAAAACTTCACTACTAGAAGCGCACTCCCAGGTCAGCGCTAGCCTGGCTGTCATTTTTCACTCGTCTGATAACAACAATTGCAAAGAGCTAGTGGGACACTCTTTGCTTTTCCGATGGTTCGCATGATGCAAGTCAATGCATGATCGTCCTAATGGACATTGTCTTATGATGACTGCTACTGACCTCTAACTGACATAATTCTCTGGTACATGTATGGGGGCCCGCAAGCCCTTTTCCGTAGAGCGTAATCGGCCGTTTTAATTCTACGTAGAGCGTAGACGGACCGCTCTAAAATTTTGTGTAGAGCGTATTCGCCGTTATAATTCTACGTAATGCGTTGTAGCCACTTGGAATTTATTGTAAAGCGTAATCGAGAGGTTTCCGAATTCAGCGTAGAGCATTGTCGGGACCCCCCGTGGAATTGATTGCCACATAGCATGTTATTTATTATTCTGAAATCATTGTAGAATAATAATCTAAAGCGCCTGCAAACTAGATATGCAGATATTACCTGAAGTCAAAGTTTTAAGTTTGAAGCCAAATTCCTCAAAATGATAATTTAATGCCTTAGTTCTTAAAGCTGTACAAGAACAACTTAATTTACTGCATAGCATTGCTGGCCTTTCTGAGTTGACTGCTAAGTGTTGTTTGTGCTCCTAAATTTACTGCAAAGCAATGTGAGGGTTCCCCTACACAGACCCTCACGTCTATTCTCCAAGGCAACATTATCTAACGCTCATTGAAAAGATAATATAAATCAAAACTTTATTACATCAGCATGTCAGCCATGTATGCATTCATTACTGAATTGTGTTGACTTACTGCAAACTGTGTCTGATAACAGCATCAGTTAGAAGACTACATGTACATTACTGATTAAATTAACTAAGGCTTAGATTGAATAAAATTTACAAAATTGAAATATTTTTCTTCAGACAGGTACTGACTTATCAATTGACAATATATTTAGTTGTTGCTACTGTAAATTGTGAAACTTTTGCATTTTTTTTGCAGTGACCTCTCCCCCACAAATTCATGACACTGTAAATACATGTGTTATTGTATGATTGTCTTCCTTGCATAACTGTGTATAGTATTAGACGGAATTGTTTCAACTGCATATTCAAAATCATATATATTTAAAAACCTCCCTTTCTCGCCTGGAAAGTTTCACGATCTACAGTATTCTACAACCCGCGGCTATCT